TTGAATGTCAGCAGACAGCAAGAAGCCTCCCAGATCTCCAGATGCATTTGAGATATCAAAAAAGTACTCCAGAGTGTTGTTCAGCATGGGGGTGAGTAGAAAATGAAGGCTAATCATGTTTTGGGTGTACTATTCCTTTAAATCAATCGATTTTTTGCTGTTATTGCTCCGAACAAATTATGGTTTGAAAACCGTAAATGGTATCTAAATAATTCTTTCAGGCAGAGCAACAGCCATCCCTTGTCTTTTATTGGGGTTAATTTCATGGCTGTAGCTTATTCAAAACCATAATGGGAAGAGGAATAAAAAGGTATGTCACACATAGTTGTTTCATTAGATTACATAGAGATCCATGTAAAAAATTAGCTTTCAGGAACCGAAAAAGGCCTCCAAACAAACGAGTTCTGAGCAAAAACCTTATAACCTTGTATAGTTAGATCCATCCATAACCTTATAATTCAAAAAATTCTTTCACTGTGACAGTCAGCCATCCTTCCCCTTTGATTGTGCCAACATTGGTGCATGTATATCATTTAGAAAAATACTTGTGACTTATAAAAAAAAAATAAATAAATAATAAATATAAAAAAAGAAAAATACTTATAACAATATAAAAAGCACTTAGTCGCATTCATTTTTCTTCCCTCTTGTGAGTAATCGATTACCTTTTGGTCAGTCTGGGCGGGTTTTGAGGAAAAGTATAAATTCTACGGTAATTCCGAAGACATTGTGTGAAATCAGAGGCTTCAGTCTACAAACTTATCAAAAAATGGTTACTGTAGAGCCAAATATGTGGTTGTGTTAGCGATTTCAAACTTTTGATGCTCTTAAAAAGATGGATGCTTATCACTGAAAAATCAGTTGACATGCTCAAGATTGCTGGATTTGGTCAAACTTTGTGGTGCTTGGAGACTTATTTTAGAACTGTAGCAGTTATCAACATGCCGTCTTTTGTTTTAGAATGGTGAATAATTTATCTACAAACTGAGCTTTAAGCTGTGTTTCAACGTGAAAGTATGACCACTGAGCAAAGGTTCAAAAATTGTGGATTTTTTATGTCTTCTTTCGCCCCTCTCCTTATTCATTCCTATGTTATTTTAAAATCACATAGAAATTACTTATAAAAGTTATAGTGGCTGGGACCGAGCCGGACATTCTGATACATATATTGTGTGGGTGCTTCCTAAGAGGTTCAGCGCTATATCAGCACACAAATATGAAACGAAGTTCTGTCAGTACTTACAGAACTTTGTTTGAAGCTTTGACCACTGGCAGCAGCCTGAGAAGAGCCTCCTCTGAAGCAGAGTATTTCTTCAGGTCAAACACATCCAGATCTTCTGCTGATGTCACTAAGATGAAGGCCAGAGCTGACCACTGAGCAGGAGACA